CCTAGAAGAGACCTACTTGTCCTGCAACCTCAGATCCCAAACCCCAAGGCTTCAGAAGGGGCCAGGAAGGGAAGAGGGGGCAGCAGTTCGTCCTAGCTTCATCCCCTGAGACTGTATCTGCCCTGCCTCCCTGCTCCCTGGCCAACCCAGCGCTACTTGATTCAATTCCATAAACGCTGGGTGAATACCCCTAGGTGCCCGGGAGCTGCTGATGCGGGTCCCGGAGATGATCGGGGATCAGGGCTCCGGATCTCGCAGGGCAGACGTGCCCCACAAGTAACTGTGCACGGTCCCCAGACAGCGGAGGGCTCAGCCATGGGCTGGAAAACCTTCACAAGGGAGGTGGTATCTGAGGGGACCTGGGAGCACCACAGAGACTCCAGCGTCAGAAAGACCCAAGTTTAGGGATTTCCTGGCAGTCCAGTGGTTAAGACTCTGCTCTTCCAATGCAACAGGCACAGGTTCAATCCCCGGTCAGGGAACTAAGGCGCGGCCAAGAAAAGAGAAAAGAATAAAAGAAAGACCAAGTTTAAGTATATCTCTGGCTCCCCATGTAAAAGGCTCAAGGCGAGTCTAGGTAGCTGTGAGGAAGGGGGGGTTGTGCGGGGGAGGGGGGAAGATGAGGATGACAACGGTGATCATCTCAACTCTCCCCCACCTATCTTTAAATTACCCTGCCGTCTGGAGTCTAAACTCCTCAATTCAGCAGTTAGTGCAGTACTAACATGTACAGACTTTACTGGCACCATCTCATAGAAGCCTCCCGACAGCTGTGTGAGGTCAGGAGGGAGGAAATTCTCAGTATCGCCACTTTACAGATGAGCGAACTGGAGCTCAGATGAGTGAAATCCCTCAGGTCACACAGCTAGAAAGTGGTGGCACTGAGACAACAACCAGATCTGCTCTCTGCCTTGTGGCCCCTTTTCACGGTGCCTCCCCGCTTTTCTGAATGACCACGGTCCTGGCAGGGGAACATGTGCCCCGCTTGTCAGTGAGATGGAGAGTCCTGCCCGTCCTTCCCAGGGTGAAAGCAGGCCCTCTCTGCTGAACTGAGCCACCGGAGGGAGCTGTACTCAGCCTGGGCTTGGGGAGAGTGAGGGTGTGCAGGGCGGGGCTTCAGCTTTCACCCTGATACCTCGCTGGGCTGCACACTGGGGCACATCTAAGGCGAGAGCACAGTGAGGCTGCAGGGCGTTCCGGGGAGTGAAGAGCATTTGTCCTGCAACACCAGAGACCCGGTTTCATCTCGGCTACCACACCTGGGAGGACAGATCTGACCCAGAAAGGAGGTTGCAAAAGCAGATTCAGTTGTTGTCCAGCAAATATTTCATTAGGCCAGGTCCTCGCAGTGCTCTGGGCTCCCCACCCCTCTAATGGCTGGTGAGGAGAGTCTCGTGGGCCCTGGGCGCCAAGGACTGAGGACCCACAGTGAGCCAGGCCCAGCGCTGCAGGCCTCACCCTGAGCTATCCCAGTCCGTCCTCTCAACAACCCTTCAGGTGGTTAGTCCTATTTAGAGATGAGGAAACTGAGGCTCAGAGGGGTTATGACACTGATCCAGGGTCCCACAGCTAGAGAGCACAACATGTTCATCTATGCAAAGCTCATGTCCCTTCCATTCTCTGAGCTGCTGGGAGAGTAAGACCGTGAGGGCTAGTTTTATGCATCAACCTGACGGGGCCACAGATACCTAGACATTTGGCCACACGTTATTCTGGGTGTGTCTGTGAGGGTGTTTCCGGATGAGATTAACACTTGAATCAGCTGACTGAGTAAAGCAGGTTGCCTTCCCAATGTGGGTGGGCCTCATCCAATCAGTTGAAGGCCTGGATAGAATAAAAAGTAAGGGAGAATTCACTCTCTCTGCCTGTCTTAGAGCTGGGACATAGGTCTTCTCCTGCCTTTGGACTCAATTACGGACTAGAGCTTACACCATCAACTCTCCTGTCTCTCCAGCCTTTGGACTCAGACTGGACCTAACTATACCATCAGTTCTCCCGGGTCTCCAGCTTGCTGACTGCAGATCTTGGGACCTTTCAGCCTCCATAATCTAGTGAGACAATTCCTTATAATAAATCAATCCTTCTCTCTCTGTATCCTAATGGTTCTGTTTCTCTGGAGAACCCTAATATAAAGACCAAACCTTGGGCTTCCGGGAACAAGTTGGATGCACATTTGGGTGTGGAATGTCTGGCTGCCAGAGGGCAGATATCTGAATATCTAGAACAATCATCTGATTTGGTCCAAAAGTCCCCTTGGTTCCCAACGCCCCAACAGGAAACCTGGCAGGGAGGGGACCTGCCTGGTCAAATGAGCAGAGCCAAGTAGCCGAAACCTTGGCTTTCTTTTTCTTTTTTTAAAAAAAACTGAAACAGCCCTCAAGTACTCCGGAAGAGGTGTGTCAACTCTCTCCAGCACCCCAGTGTACACAGCAATACTTGCTGAGTCCACTAGATGGGGCCAGTGACACAGCAGAGAGGGCAGAAATGCAACTCAGGAGGGAAGGTAGGCAGGCAGGGGGTACACTGGGCTGGAATCTTTGCTAGGATCCCCAAGGTGGATTACGCTCCCCACCCCTACCTTGTTTAATTTCTAGCCAATGGTGCAAAAATTAATCCTGGGGTTCGCAAGCACTTTGGCCAGTTGTCACCGTAGCATCTCTTGGATTTCAAAGTCCTCAAAGCAAGCTCTTCCCTTGTGAGTCACCAAGCAAAATGGGCAGCATCGTAGTAAAGGAAGTCCTTGCCCCGAAGCCTCAGAGCTCCAGGTGGGGGCATCTCCCTGTTCTGACTGTGACCCGTTTCACTAGAGAAAGCACCTGAGTACCTTTCACCAGGGAACCTAAAAGTCGATGGACAAAATGCACTCCAGCAAGGTGGTCATGTGATGAGGGAAGGAGACAGGACAGGAAGCAAGGAGGAAGGCAGAGGAGAAAGGGAAATAAATGGCTTTTCTCTTCAGCAAGTGGCTCTAATCTGGCCACACGTTCTCAACTCTCAGCCAGGATTCCTGGTGCTGTGTTGAGTCCTACAGTGACTCTTTCTGCACCAGCTCACAGGGGTAACAGCTGAGTCTCCGGGATGGGAGAGGAATGTCTCTAAGCCCTGTTGTGGTCAGAGACCTAAAGGCAGAGACGGGAGGCAAGAGCTGTCACTTTGCTTCCCCTGGTTAGAGTCAGTTCAGGTCCCAGAGCACCCTCTCCTCCATCAGTAGCAAGAATCCTGCCCCGCAGGTCCAAGATGGCTGTCTCTCACCTGCCACCCTTCCTTAGGACGACAGGACAATACCCCAGAATGTCAGCTGTGGGGGGCCTGAACCTGATCGACGCCCTTGCCCATCACTTCCACCTCCCACCTGCCCCCACCATCCCTTCCCAAACTTGCACTGCCTGGCAGCTGATAAGCTCTGCCTAGGCCTCTGTTGCCACGGCAACAATGTGGCTTCCCCCAAGTGGGAAGCCGGTTGCCAAGGCCCTTGTTGCCAAAGGCTATAACAGCCACCGGGCTGTGTGAAGAGGGGGTGAGACCTCTACGCAGGGGTGGAGGGTGGCCGAGGAGGCTGGGAGGGAAGGAAGCAGGGGGTTCGCAAGAAATGGTAGGGTCCAGGCAGTCCCCTGGCTGGAGTGGGGGTGTGCTGGGTCCTGCAGGAGGGAAACAAGTATCTCGCAGCAACTCAGTGACTGCTCCTCGAGGGTATTAGAGGGAAGAAAGGGGACCCCCCCCCTACAAAACACACCTGAACAAGCCCCCTACCAAGCAGGACCAAGCAATCCAAGCCACCCCCCCGCCCCCCTCCCAAGAAGAAACTTGATTCTTCCCAATTTCTGAAAAATAGCCCCCAGGAATCCCTCTGTCTCACTTGCTCTTGTGTCTCAGACACGCTCGCACAAGCTGAGCACGGACAGAGCTGGTCTCTGGGCCCAGGAACAGCATTAATTACAAGGATTGCAAACCTCCTCGCATCTCTATCCCTCCGCCCATCTCAGAGCACATCCTCAATATTGCTTGTAAAGTGCTTCTCTTTGGAGCAGAGCTTTCATCGGTGGACAAGAGGAGAGGTGGACACCATTACGGCTCATTCCCTTCCAGAGTCAACAGAGGAGGGCTGGACAGGGCCCTGGGTGCTCAGGGAATGCTACAGAAGCTGCTCACTCCTCCCACTGCCGGCACCAAGGCCAGCCTTGGTTTGCTGAGCCGAAACTTGATCTTCCCAATTTCTGAAAAATAGCCCCCAGGAATCCCTCTGTCTCACTTGCTCTTGTGTCTCAGACACGCTCGCACAAGCTGAGCACGGACAGAGCTGGTCTCTGGGCCCAGGAACAGCATTAATTACAAGGATTGCAAACCTCCTCGCATCTCTATCCCTCCGCCCATCTCAGAGCACATCCTCAATATTGCTTGTAAAGTGCTTCTCTTTGGAGCAGAGCTTTCATCGGTGGACAAGAGGAGAGGTGGACACCATTACGGCTCATTCCCTTCCAGAGTCAACAGAGGAGGGCTGGACAGGGCCCTGGGTGCTCAGGGAATGCTACAGAAGCTGCTCACTCCTCCCACTGCCGGCACCAAGGCCAGCCTTGGTTTGCTGAGCCGGCACCTGTGCATTTATAGCCCACAACTCACATAAACAGCCACTGCCCAGCGCGGGCCCAGAGAGGAGAGCCTGTTCCCTCCCCAAGGTCCCATCCTGCTAGAGAAGAACTGAGAGAGAAAGCTGAAAGAGGAAGTGAGGTGTCCAGGAGGCAGGGGGAGCAGATGGCTGGTAGAAGAGACAGGGGTAGGTGCAGCAGTGGCAGAGAGAGCAGCAGGCGGGGGACGGGGGCTAATCTGAGAGGCCCAGGACCGGAATGAGATGATGAGGGCACCAAGAGCAAGCCCAAATTTCCCGAGTCCTGCACCCCAGTAGCGCTCCAAGCAGAGCCTGGCCCACGACACCCATGCCTGCCTACCCCCCTCCCCAAAAGCCCCCTCTTCCCAAACCCGGAAGGAAAAGCAGGTGTACCTACCCCAGGTGCCAGCCCCTCAGGTGGGGTGGGGGAGATGCTGTCCCCGCCACCCTGGTTCCGAGCACTGAGCTGGGGCGACATGGTGGGCGACTCATCGATGTACGGCATGGTCTCCGAGCCCTCTGGGGGCCCCTTCTGCTCTTCATTCCCCTCTCCGTCGTAGTCGTCTGCCCCGTAGCTGAAGTCTGAGACAAGGAACAAGAAAGGCCACTGAGAGTCCTCCACGAGGGCTGCCAGGGACTGGTAGCGCAGTGGGCGCCAGCGGCGGTCCCCGGCTGCCATGCCCCGGGCCGCACCACCCACGCCCAGCCCGGGCAGGGCTGCGCGGCCCGGAGCGCCAGCAGGCACCAGGCGCTGCAGTTCAGGGGCCGCTGGGAGTCGACGGGGAGCAGCTCCCCTGTTGCCACCCGCTTAATAGCATGTCAGTCGCGTATTTCGAGCTGCTGTTTCCTTTGCCTCCTGCCTAATTCCAAGTCTAAAAATTAACAGGGGGAGCAGGCGGCAGGACGCTTCCAGCTCTCCTCTCTGAGTCACCATTTTGCTTTTTATAGGGAGTAAGGAGGTGCGGGCGGGCCGAGCGATGTCACTTCCTGAGCCCCTCCTCTTTGGGTACCATTTGTACACTGAGCCCCATCCCTGGATGGGAGGTCAGAGCAGGGTTTGGGGTGGGGGCTGAGGAACGGCACCCGAGGGAGCCCTCACCCCTCGAACAAGGCTCCGCAAAGGTCAGAGCCCAAGGCTGGCAGAGCATGGGCGAGAAGACGGCCGGGCCTGGCAGGGATGCGGTTGCACAGCAGACTTCTCAAAAGCCGGCACTTACTTCTGTAATTTCAACGTAGGATTCCTTGGGAAAAGGAGGGAAGAAACAGCCACAGGGAAATCAAGCTGCTGTTAACCCCATCGGCGCTGCCAGCACCACTCAGGGGCCAGAGCCCCCGCCCAGACACCCCCTCCCTGGACAGCAGGCCGGGTCTATGGGGGTGCAAGGCAGCATCTCAGAAAGGCCCCCATTACACCCCACCAGTGGGGGGTCTCTCCTAGAGCTGTGTGAGGGACCCTCCCCCACCTCCACCCCTGGCTGGGTCTGTCCCACATCTGCTCAGATATCACTTCCTCCACAGTGTCCCCCCCCACCTCCCGGCGTCCCAGCTCAGAACTCCTACAGTGCGTGGCCCTCTAGTGTCCCCAGTGATCCTGTCCATTCGTCCCTGAACACCTGGTGCGGGAACTGGGTGACAGCCATCGCTGTGTGCCCAGCAGCCATGGCCCGCATGGGTCAGGATCTTGGGAACGTGTGGGGAGTGAGTGAATGGGCAGAGGAATGCACTGTCCCTCTCAGGTCTGAGGCTTGAGCCAAGTTCTCAGCGGGGGCCCTGGCTCCTCCTCCTGTCACAACACACCAGCCCCTGGGGCCGCCGGCAGCCTGAGAATGGTGTCAACGGGTCACCAGGGCGCCAGGCCACGGCCACACTCAGTCCAATCTGCCCCTTTGGCAGCCGAGAGCGCCCCCCAGCCTCGCTGCACCTGTTCCTGCCGACTTCCTCTCCAGTCCTGTGCTGACGGCCCATTAAGCTGTCAGGGACGTGAGCTATTATTTTTTTTCCCCAGGACAGGCGTGCACGTGAAGAACCACAGGATCTAGCCATCCAGACACTGGGACGTGTGTGTGCCAGGCACCCGGGAAACAGGACCCACTGCCAGGAGGACACAGGGCTTCTGTCTCAGGAGCAGGTGGGGGTAAGCCAACTCTGCTATTTTCACCCCACCAGTGGGGGTCTCTCCTACAGCTGTGTGAGGGACCCTCCCCCACCTCCACCCCTGGCTGGGTCTGTCCCATCATCTGCTCAGATACCACGTCCTCCACAGTGTCCCCCCTGGCGTCCCAGCTCAGAACTCCTACAGTGCGTGGCCCTCTAGTGCCCCCAGTGATCCTGGGAGGGAGGAAGAGGAACCACAGCAACCGGGCTGCCTGAGTCTGGCACTGTGAGGGAGCCCGGCTGTTTGGTGAGACCTACTCACTTTGGAGAAGCACGAGGAGGGAACGAAACACCACGTTAACCTGCGGTCTTTCCTCCAGGAGGCTCCAGGCTGCCCTGTTAGTGCCTGGAGTCAAGCGAGGGATGTGAACTCTGATGAACACTGGCCTGGCAATCCGTTCAGATTCCAGCAGGCCCCGCTGACTCTCCTGTACACTGACCAATTCCCAGGGGTCACAGGACCAGAGCCTTCACTCTCAAGATATTTCCCAAGGGCAAGGGGAGAAGGGACCACAGGGAAAGTGGTGAGGCTTGACTCTACCGCACAGTCTGCAGCTGCCCGGGTCACAGCAGGGTGGGAAGGTCTCTGCCAGCCTTCCGCCATGTGTGCCCAATTCATCCTTATCAGAGTGGTGCCCCTGGACCCCACATCTCAACCTAGCCACATCAGAGAGGCTGCGCTCACGATCCCCAGTTCACAGGCAGAGTCACTGAGTCTCAGAGAGATCTGCACAGAAAGGATCTGAATCCAAGTCTGTCTCCAAATGCCATCTTTCCCCCTCTGAATCTCACTAATCTTCTAGGGAAATCTCCTTCTACAGCCCTCGTCAGGGGAGGCTGACAAGGAGGGGAGAGAGGGGTGCCAGCCACAACAGCAGGGTTCCCGGGCATGGAGGACAGTGCCCTCAGAGCTCTCTGCAAATGTTCCTGGATACTGTCCCTTTCATTCCAACCTCCAGGAGACCCTGACAGCCCAGGAAGCCAGCCAGAGACCCCGGAGAATCCTACCAGGAAAAGGGATACAGAAGACAGAGAAACCAACCCTTTGAGAAAGCAGGAGCCCTGGGGACTTAGGAGGGTGGAAATCTGCCAAGCACAGCCTTCAGTCTGTGCAGGTCCACAGACAGGAAGGCTGAGTGGACCATGGCTTGGCCAGCAGGTGTCAAAAGAGAAAAGGCAGAGGAGGCTGCTGACAGCCAATATCCATTTCCCCTCCTAGTAACAGAAATCTCACTATTGGGCTTCCCTGGTGGCGCAGTGCTTGAGAGTCCGCCTGCCGATGCAGGAGACGCGGGTTCGTGCCCCGTTTCGGGAAGATCCCACATGCCGCGGAGCGGCTGGGCCCGTGAGCCGTGGCCGCTGAGCCTGCGCGTCCGGAGCCTGTGCTCCGCAAATGGGAGAGGCCACAACAGTGAGAGGCCCGCATAACGCAAGGAAAAAAAAAAAAAAAAAAGAAAGCTGGTGAAAAATATTATTGCATCATTTTGTAAGAGGAAACGCCGTTGCCGCAGCAGCGTTTCCTCGGAGTCCTCTTTAGTACAGGTGAGAAAAGAATCAACCTCTATCCAAATTAAGATTCTCTCTGTACATCTCAAAAAAAAGAAATCTCACTATCTTTGGAGTGGCAGTGTGTTCCGTGGCTAGCTAAAAGGCTACTTTTCCTAGTGGTGTGGGCCATGTGATGAAGTTCTGGCCAATGGGATGTTGAGTGGATATGTGTGGAACTTTGAAGAGAGTTGCTGAGATTGTTTTCACTGGAAGGTATTTTTCCCCTCTCTCCATGCTTCCTCCTTCTGTTGCCAGTTTGGAAAGCAGATAGGAGAGCTGGAGCTCCAGCAGCCATACTGAGCCATGAGGGGACCTTGAGGATAGAAGCCAGTGCTGAATATAGCTGAGCTCAAAGCTAGGAGCCTGGGCCCGTGATGGCACAGTGAGCCAACATACCACCCCAGGAATGTCTACCTCTGGACTTCTTTTACATGACAGAAGAAAAATGCCTATGTTATTTAAGTCACTGTTATTTAGTTTTTATATTATATGCAGTCAAACCTAATTATAACTGATCCAGATGGTTTTCCTTGACATTCTATCTGGGTGCTTTTCCTACGGTCTTCACTGTTCCTTCTAGTCTCCTTGGTGGAATCCTCTTTCCCCGCCCACCCCTTAAAAATTGGTATTCCCTATACATCCTTACAATAGAATACTGCTCAGCGGTAAGAGGGGCAAAATACCGAGACACACAGAAATGACTCTTACAGGCATTATGCTAAGTGAAAGAAGCCAGACACAAAAGAACACATCCTGTATGGCTCCACTTATGTGAAGTTCTAGAACAGACAAATTTAATTTACGCTTGGAAAAAAAAAGAAAACTGTGGTTGCTTCTAGGGGTCAGGTAGGGACAGGAATTGACTGTAAGGGGCACAGGGAATTTTCTAGGGTGATGGAAATGTTCTGTATCTTGACAGGGATTTGGGGGTACACAGGCGGATGTGTTCATTGACTTTGTCAAATAGTACACTGCATCAAAGATTTGTGCATTTCACTAAATATTTAACTCTAGTTAATGACATGCATGTTTAAGTGCCGAAGTGAAATGTATTGATGTCTGCAACTTACCTCTGACGTACATAAAAAACAAGATGGGTTGATGATGTCCAGAGGGATGGCCAGATGTGTGATAAAGCAAGTGGAGAAAAATGATAATTACAGACTCCAGATGGTGGGTACATGGGTGTTCACTATACAATTCTTTAAACTTTTAGGTATGTTTGAAATTTTTCATAAGAAAATGATGGGGAAAAATTGGTGTGTTCTCCGGGCTTCTGTCACCTCTCCCAAATTTTATTTATATTCTAGGGAGAGGTCTGGGCTGCAGACCCATCTCTTTGTTTCCTGGACATCTCCACCCCCAGGAACTTCAAACCCAAGCTTTTCCTGAAGTTAATCTGCCAGATCACTCAAGTTGGAAACCTAGGAGTTGTGCCAGATTCCTCCCTTTTCCTCCTTACCTCCTACACCCTGAAATATCCCCACTCCCCATCCGCCTTCCCACCCTCACCAACTCTTACAAGGACAATTCCAACACTCTCTCCCTGTGACTGCCAGACTGCAAATCTGATCGTGTTTCCCCACTGTTCAAAATTCAACAGTTCCCCATTCACTTCAAACTCCCGGGCTCAAGGCCTTTCATAGTCAGCACCTGACTCTTCCTTTACAGAGTCGTATTCTGCTGCCCTGTAATATCAGACATCTTCTAGGTAGGTCCCTGAAAGGGTCTGAATAGTAGCCCCCAAATATATATGTCCAAATCCTAGCCTTGGTACCCATAAATGTGACCTTATTTAGGAAAAAGGTCCTTGTAGATGTAATTAAGTTGAGGATCTCTAGATGAGATGATCCTACTTTAATTGAGTGGGACCCAAATCT